TTTTTTTTTTAAATTGCTTGTAGAGCGTACCCAACTCTGAATGTTTGTCGTTGACCTTTTTTCTCAGTTTTATTTGGAGTGCTGCCAAGTGGGCTTGGGCAACTGAAAACTATATCATGGATGGCATTCGTGCATTTGTCGGATTGGAAGCAGTGGCAATGTGACTTCAAGCTCTTCTTTTGAGATGGACTTTTTTTTCTTGACTAAATTTTGGTTGATCTCATAAGATCACATTACTTTTCGTTCCCTCAAAAATAACACAAAAAAAAAACACTGGCGAAATTTTTTGGAGGAATTCAATTTTATTCTTGCAGGATTCCATTTTGTTTTATAAAAATTGATACTAAAAGATTTAAACATTTTTCTGCAAAAGATATTCTGACAAAAGTACGACTGTTTTCTTGAAAAGTGAATGCCACTATTTTTGTAAGATTACGACTTCTGCAAAGACTTGAACTTTATTCTCAGACTTTTTTGTCATCTTTTTTTCCTCAAAGAACATGGCAAAAGACTTGATTTCCCACCAAAATAGACTTTTGCAACTTTTTCTCCCAAAATACTTTTTCGTGCCAGATTCTGTTTTCTAGAGAAAAAAAAGTCAGTTCTCGCAAGATGACACCTTTTTTTCCTCTTCCTTTTAAACAAACAGAATGGATTCTTATATGATATCGTTTGTTGCAGTACTGCAAAGTGTTTCAAGCGTGAAATGATAAAATGTGTCAACTGCATGTTCCGAGTGACAAGTGACGAAATGCTAATGTGTTTGTCAGGTTGGACGCAGCGGAAACATTCCTGCTGGTACAACCGTGGACACAGACATCACGCATCCTTATGAATTTGACTTTTACCTCTGCAGTCACGCTGGAATACAGGTGAGCTCTCTGGTGATCCTTCACCCATTTCTGACGAGCAACCATTTACGCTCACAATCACTCCGAGGGACAATTTAGAGTGTTCAATCAGCCTGCCATGCATGTTTTGGAAATGTGGGAGGAAACCGGAGTACCCGGAGAAAAGCCACGCGGGCGCAGGGACGAAACGCAAACCCCACACCTCTGCCCCTGTGAGGCGGACGGACTAACCAATCGAACGCCGTGCCGCCCTCTGGTTATCAGATGGATGTGAATGGATTATTGGCCCTGAAATTCCCATTTTTGCTTCCCGCGGGTGGCAGGGCACCAGCCGACCCTCCCACTACCACGTGCTGTGGGACGACAACTGTTTCACAGCCGACGAGTTCCAGCTGCTCACCTACCAGTTGTGCCACACCTACGTGCGCTGTACCCGTTCAGTGTCCATCCCCGCGCCCGCATACTACGCCCACCTGGTGGCCTTCCGCGCCCGCTACCATCTGGTCGACAAAGAGCACGACAGGTCAGTAAGTCAGTCGAGGTGTGATGTGCATGAAAACCAGAGAGCTCTCCGTGTGAATCTAAAAAAAAAAACAAAACAAAACAATAAACCTGTACACGCAAGACATTTCACAAGGCAACTGACAATGTTTCACACAACCAAAGATGCAGCACCTAAAAGTGTGTGAAAACACAGCAGTCCACGATATTCAGAAACAAAAGTAGCTTGCCAACATTTCCAACATTGATCTTTGCACGTGCTGTTTGCTCTCTATCCCACCGTGCAGCGCCGAGGGCAGCCACGTGTCAGGTCAGAGTAACGGTCGAGACCCGCAGGCCCTGGCCAAGGCGGTCCAAATCCACCACGACACCCTACGGACCATGTACTTCGCCTGAGCTGCAGCCCATCACCATTTCCATCGTCCGCACATGAACACCCAACACACACACACACACACACACACACACACACACACACAGCCATGCACGGATGGCTTGCCAGTCAGAAAGCCCTCTCTCTCACACACACTCACACTCACACTCGCCTAGTTCCGGACCGACACTGTGCAGAGGGAAGCAGGGAAAAGGAGGAGGCGGCACCCCACACTGGATCGAGGAGGCAAAAATGCTGCTTTTAACCAGGAACAACGAGACAAAACAAAACTCAGCACTAATATGCAATAGAAACCAGCCAACGTTTTTTTTTTTTCCCCTTTGAGTTGACTTCTCTTTTACGCTGTAGTCCCTCATCCCCTGTTTACATTCTGCCCAACTGCTCCCAGGCACCTCAAAACCATTCAGAAGCAGCAGCACTTTTACTCGGTTTTTTCCTCTCTTTTTTTGTCTGTGTGTGCGTGCGTGTGCGCGCGTGTGTTTTGAAGCAATCGAGGGAGCAGCCGGGAAGGCTGTGGAATTCTGATTTGATTATTTTCCCCCTTCCCTCCCGCTCATGAAATGAGCAGTTCTTTGAGCACACTGCCACCAGCTGGCGAGCAGGTGCAACGTCATCCCGCTGAGATGCCTCACTGCATTCTCCTCTTCTGCTGTGGGCCAAAAAAAACTAAATCAAACTGACCTGTAAAAATCGAGAGGATTTTTTTTTCCCCTGTGTATGAAATACATAATGTGTGCTTTAAAATTTATTGCTGGCACCATTGACTTTTTTAAATTGTTATTTTTTTGCATTGTACTCTTGTTTCTCCTGTTCCATTGGGGTTAAAATTGACCTTTTTTTTAATTTATTTTTTTTTAATTATACACACATTTTAGGTTAACTTCTTCTACAGGCCATATTTTTGTTTTTTAAAGAATTGACAAATTTGCTTTTTGTTGCGTTTTTTTTAAATAATCAGTCTCGGGGTGTTTTTTTTTTTTTTTTAATATGTCAGTATACACATATTATAGGACACCTTCCACTAGCCGTAGTTTCTTTGTTTTGTCCATCTCCAAAAATGACTTCCAGACTTATTTTTTTTTTCCATAAAATTTACATTTATTTGTGCAATTAATCATGCAGTTGGTGCAATTGATCCGTAACAAAACTCAGCAGGAGCCAGGAGGGTTCAATTTTAAAGTGGGTCAATCTGACCGCCATCATAATGAGGAATTAAACTTTACAATGGCTGAATTTGGCCTGCAACGTAACGGGAGAACTGAATTTGACATAATTTGTCCATTTAATCCACAACGTAGAAGGAGGGTTAAATTTGACCCACAGCAAAACTGGAGATGCTCTCACGAGTTTTCCTTATCTACATACATCTACCATGGCCATACCTGGATTTTAAAATCGGATTTAAAGTATAACACTTGTCTTTTTATAACCTTGTTGTCTTTTTATAACCTGATATCACCCCCCCCCTTTTTTTTTTTTTTCATCATGTGAAGCTTTGGCCTTTACTTTGACCTTGTTGCATCCATTTTGTTTCTCTGGTAGTGCTTTATGTGTGGAAGGGAAGAGGAAAATAATCGGCACGTTTGGCAAGACGGTTGCAGACTGTTAAGCACCTTGGACATTTTTGTTGTTGTTTGTTTTGTTCCTGTTTTCGGTGTGTAAAGTGCAGTTCTGACAACATTTCATAAGCTTACTTGAAGGATTTATACGTGCGCGTCATTTTGGATTTCCCGATGAACGAGTTGTTTTGGACCTGATTGCAGCAACGTGGCGTTCAAAGGCCATTAAAGAGAGGCCGGGAGTATTTTAAGTGCCTGGTAAAGGGTGAAGCGGGTCATGCCGGACGGGCCAAGTGACTGAACCGACAAAACGTTTCACCCGATGCCTCGTGGTCTTCTCAACTCATTGACTTTTCTACACGACTCGATCAGAAAATCATTGTGATTGTGTGTGTGGTGTGTAGTTGCTCATGTTTTTGCCCGTCGCGCAGTGTTAGCTGGTGCATTTGCTTGGACACCGCAGTCTGATCGTCTTATTATACATACTGGTCAAGGTTTCGAGTTGCTCGACAAGTTACGACTGGCTTTGGAACAAAAACAAATAACCGCGCAGTCAAATGGAGACCACCTTTTTTGCGGTTTATCCTATCAAATACATATCTGTCGAGACTCCTTTTGCGCTGCTGATGGTCTGAAGCTTTTTTTTTTGTGGGGGTGGGACTACGGGCGGGCGGGTTATGTTTCCCCCGACAAAGTTAACTGCACTAAAAGACGCGTGTGTCGTTCAGCTTTGTGAACACGGCCATGGTGCTAAAACCGATGGAGAATCTGAGGCTGTACTGAAACATAAGACAAATTGGACAGGTGAAGAAAATCCAAAACGATATCGCGCGTTCCCCCCAGTTAGGGCGGAAACCTGCCCCACGACCATGTTGGGTGTCAGACAGGCACCACCTCACCACTAATTGGGGGTGGACATTAGCCAAACGGGTGTTGCACTAGCCCAGTGGTCTGAAGGAAGACCATGGATAGATTGATGCCTTGCTGCTTGTGGTAAAGCCTCCTCCGAGTAGGGCTGGGCTAACATGGGTGCGGGAGTCTAGTTCTGGGTGTTGTGGGATGACCTCGCTGGTCCCCGGCGATTGCGGGGAAGCCTCGGAGACTTGGGTGCTTGTGGGATTTGCCCCGCTTTCTCCGGTTAGTCCTTTAGTGGCCCCAATACCCTGGCGGGGAATTCCAAGGCTCCCCACTAATCCCCTTGGATCTGAGGACTATAGCAGGGGTGTCAAACTCATTTTTTGTCGCGGGCCACTTTGGGCATCCACAACAAACGAAGGGATTACTCGTTTGGGAACCCTGAAATCAACTTGGTTCAATTCTTGTTCAAGGGAGTGTAAAAAGGGTCACAGAATGATTGCAAAATCTCACCATTCTTGATTCCACGTGACAATTTGACATTTCGGTCCAGATTTGAGCGGAGATCATGCACGTTGACTCGCATGATTTGCTTTTGCGGGCCACATAAAATGATGTGGTGGGCCGGATCTGGCCCCCGGTCCTTGACTTTGACACCCGTGGACTACAGTGACAGTCCCCTCTCCCGGAGTGGTTGTGGGTTGTGGGTCAGTCCCGACTTCCTTGGTAAGCCTGGGAAGTTCTCTTTTTTGGTGTCGGGATGAATCCCACTTCCCTGAGGATTGTGGCTTTCCCCCACTATCCCTCCCTCACCCGGGGCGCCCACAGGGATTCTGGGATTTGGGACGCTTCCCGAATCTCAGCCATCCAGTCAAGCCCTACTGGGTGTGGGATGGCCCCCGACTACACTGGTGCATGTGGAGGGCAATCTTGAAAAAAGCCGTTGATGGACAGTTGCGTTGGACTACCTTCAAAGGCGTTTCCCTCAGGTGTGGAAACTTGCCGAGGACTGAGCCACTGTCTTGGAAAGCCTTAAAAAAAAAAAAAATCAAAAGTATATTTGTTCATTGGAAAGATGAAATGCACACCAATTATTTTTGGTAACAGAGTAAAAAAGATGTAGTCTAAATATTCTTAGCAACAAATATATCGTATGTAATGGTAAAAAAAACAAAAACATTCTGATAGTTATTGCAATAGCCTTTTGACGTGCGTCCCTGTAAATCGTGTAGTGCGCCTAGCACGAAAGGCGTCGACCGTGACTGTCATACTGTTAGCGATCTGGCGGCGGCCGTCGAACCGCCCACTGGACATTGGATGCCCATTTTGTCCAAATGAATTCAAAGAGTGAAAAAATAGATTAGAACGCTCCTGAATGTGCTTTTTCTTTTTCTTTCCTCCCTCCACCCTGGTGCTGACGATTCCATTTGGAAGGAGTGTTGGGAAAACTTAAGCGGGTCTTTTTTTTTTTTGTAACGCTTTTGCAATCTGGCAGATGCAGCAGTCCGTGGCGGAATATCCGGCTGAGGTTTTCTTCAGCGGCAAAACTCTGGGTGGGCCCCGCGACAATCACCCTCAATCTTCTTGCTTTTGACGCCAACACTCGGTGGATGTGGGACAGTCACCCTTGCGTTAGTGGTGACAAAATAGCCTCCACCCCTCTTAACGAGTGTCAAGCAGGTACTCTGGTGGGTGTGGCTGGCTCCTCATTCCTCCGGTGGGTATCTCCCCCCCCCCCTCCCCCCCAACCTGTTGAATCCGAAGCGGTGCAGAAAGTTTGAGGGTTTGCCCTACTAGCCCTGCGTGGCAAGTGATCCATTTTAAAGGACTGTTGGAAAATGTAAAAAGTTATCCCCCCCCCCCCCCACCCTGCAGTTCAATCTCCACCCTGACCCCAGAGAACTCGTTTCTTTGCCATGAAGGTCTTACACACGCAAACACACCCAAAAAAGATGAGGTGTTTGTGATTGGCATTCAAGGATGTCCGATTCTTTGTGAGAAGATGGAAGATGCTGAGTGGCGCCCCAACATGCTTTTCCAAGGCCTCGCCATGAGCTGCAAAAGCATCGCTTGCCTGTGAATGAGCTGACATAAAAAAGAAGCCTCGCCAGTTGGGGAAAAACCTCTTGTCTCCCTTTAAAGTGGAAGCTGTTCTTCCACAGCAAGTAAGGGTCCACCCAGGAAGTGCCTTTCCTCTCGACTACCCGGCCCCGCCTTCTTTCTTCTTCTCCATCGATGCTAGTGTCTCAGAGCTCGGATTTGGTCCTTGTTAGAACCCGCTAATGTCGACCACAGCACTTCAGAGAGCGCCATTTCAACTCTTGAAGTTCAGCCCCTCGCATCTCAACATGGGGGGGGGCTTTCATCCATGGCGTGGACAATGGTGGGTGTCATCTTTCATTCATCTTGAAGGGCATTAAGAAAAGCGAGACCAGCATCAGTATTGAACGGTTCTTGGAGACAGAGCACTCGCTCAAGCTAATGCGAGTGCAATGTCGGGGAGGGGAGGGAGCGAGCCAGTAGGGTGTCAATTGAAAGGATCTTCAATCCAGGTGGGATTGGGTGGAGGGAGGGGTGGGGGGGGGGGGACTTTTGTGTTTTTACGGTTCTCAGAAACACTGCACCTCACTTACCTTGGTATGCTGCATCATGTTGGAGGTTGACACAAGAGAAGAACTGCAAACTGCTCATGATATACATGCTTGAGTTATGCCTGACATTCTTAACTATTTTAGAGTCCAAATACATAACTGTAAAAAAAATGTCTCAACTGTTTGTTTTTTTTTTTGCTTTTGAGCCGACTTCTTCTTTTTGTCCTATTTAAATGTGTTTATGAAATATATACATACATACACGTAAGAAGCCTATATATGTGGAGTATTTTATGGCGTATTTATTGCTTTTTTTGTGTGTGGAAGGTGTTTAGAGCCTTATTTTCGTACGCGCAAGCACAATATATGCGAACGGGCTGATTTTTTTTTTTTTCCTCCTTTCTTAATCTAAACGCAACTTCCTCCTTATTTAGCCTTCAAACGCCAATCGGAGACGAGGCTTTGGGCTACATCTGCCATGTCAATTCCATTGGCTGGATTACACTACTTCGAAAAAGGTGCTGGGGTTTGGGGCTTTTGGCTGAAATCTCAAGAGAACCAGAAATGTGCTTGTGGACGTAAAAAAAACAAAGAGCATGCAGTGCATTCAGAAGTTTAGACAAGGTCCAATTAATACATTGACCAATGAAGCTCAGTGGGCCTTTTCGGTTCATCCTGAAATTTCACCCAATCGGCCCTTTTGGTGACGAGCGGATCAACGAAAGCTCTTGTCTCGAGTTCATGTGCCACAGGAGGGCGGGCGAGAGAGAGAAAAAAAAAAGAGCCTTAATTGTGTCCTAAGCCTGCGTACTTGAAACCGATTGTACGTTTTGTCTCTTCTCGTTCCAAAACCACTAAAATCGCTACGCTCAAGTCTCTCTGTTCGGGACGGTCCGAGTTTTTCTCAGCGTGCTTCCTGTCCTGTCTGGTTACGCGAGTGTCGACTATATCGCGACGACAAAATCCGATCCAATCCCGATCAGAAGGCTAGTTAGCGAGACCTGTGCCTGAATCGTTTCTTCTTTTCGACACTCGGGTAAACAAGATTGTACTCACCCCCCCCACGCCCCGAAAGCAAACAAAAAAAACCCTGTAACCTCCCTTTCTTACTTACAATCCCGTTAAATGTTCTTTCACCCCCGTCAGCATTCCAGTACTGAGGTTGAACCAAATATTGCGAAAGAGATTAGACGTTTTGATTGCTCGTCCGTGGCCAAGGAAACATTTCATTTAATAACTTTTTTGGGGGGGGGGTCTCAACGTGGCAAATCTTTGTGTCAGTCACACCTGCGCGACGCTGCCTACGGGATTTGCATTTGTCGCAATTGTACCGACTGCTTGAATTTGTTTCTCTTTGTAACTTCTTCCTTTACGTTGTTGGCCTTTTTTAAGTGTTGCTTTGCTTCTGTTTGAAGTGTATGTTTGACTAATACTTGCAATAAAATGCTTTGCTTTACCTTGGTCACACATACTGAGGCTTTTCTTACATACTCGTCTCGTGCAATTTGACTTTTGGGGATGGTGGGGATGGGGGTGGGCTAAGGAAATAGCTGTACTTAGTTACTTCCCACCACCTTGTTGCCATTGAGAAGGAAATGGGATTTACTTGGTAGTAATCGATGAGTGAGCATGTGCAGTTCTGGTCACTAATTACAATTTGGCTAAAGTGGCGTCCATCAAGTATGCAGCAAAGTCATTTGCGATGTGAAGAGACTGGCCTCCCAGGAATACGCAATAACTCAGTGATGTTGCGCACCATGACGACTTGATAGTGAGTACACGTTGTCTTTTCACTTCTCAATTTATGTTTACACTTTGGTGATGTCAGAATGTTCAAAATGGCTTGACTAAAATGTGTCGAGGGTTGTTTTTATTCAGTAAATTGATTTGTGTGCGAAAGTGAAATAAATATAAAGCACATTTATATCCATCCATCCATGTGTGACGTGTGCTCCCTGTAGTACTCTGAAAAAGAATCAGCACTTATAGTTCAATGAATTTGAATTTAATCGTAAATATGGTTTGTTTTCAAACGTTCAGGTGACCTTTTTTTTCCTTAAAATGTGCAATACCTTCAAGTGAATGATGAAATACATGTGTTTATTTCTCTAAGCACAGTATTGATATTCAAACTGCGTAATGTTACAGTGGCTTAACAAATACGAAATACATTAATTCATTTTTATTTTATTTTTGTAACACGTGGGGTTTTTATGGAATTTTTCAAATCATTTTTGTTCATGTTGGTGATACTTGGTGAGCTAAGACTTGGCGAAAAAAATGTGTGCATACTGCATACAACGCCTGCCCTTGGACTACGCGGGATCTAAAAGGAAACTGTGATAAATCCGCAATCGGGGCGTCACTTTAGTGGCTTCTTCGTTAATCCTCTTGGTGCCCGTAACCTTGGACAAATAAACAGTACAAAGGGGTATAAACAGTAGCAACGTTGTCACATACTTTTAGACAATGGCACTCGGGGAAAAAAAGTTGACTCGGGACCATTCGGACTCTTCAAAAAGCCAAGACACTCTTCTCTCAATGTATTGTGACCAAAAAAATGACATCGGAGCATTTGTGTTTTATTTTCCATAGAAACAGTTGAGAATTTCAACGTCACATTTTGCTAAAATGCTTCACTGCATTTTTCTACATTTGTGTCTGTTTCTGGTTTCTCGGGTTGGATTTGGTGTTCCCAGGTGGATGATTGATTGGCTTGAAACACCCAGTGTCAAGTGTGGCCCAGCAGGAGGCAGTGTTTAGGTAGACAAGTAGTCCATTCGACGTCCTCCCTCGCGACAACAGAAAGACTTCCGGAAATTCAGGACGGACGTTTGCTGTCTTCCCGCTCATGGCACCTTTTAAATGTTGTCGTCCACATGTTCTCGCAGCCTGTCTCCTCGGTGCCTGTTGCGGTACCTCCTGGGAAGGAAAATTAAACGAAAAATAAAGCAGCTACGAGGCAAGCACACACAAAAATGCCAAACTTCAATCCTTCACCATTTTGCATTACACGTCTGGGTAGAATGAGGAGTTGAAATTTGGCACATTTGAATCCAAGGGCACCTCGATATGGTCAAATGACCACAAAATGATGGCTTCAAACGAAAATGGCTGCCTTCCTGTGTCTTTTGGGGCATGTTTTCTTAAACACGAGAGACACGCCTGCCGAGTTTCATAGTTCACGGGGGAACTAAGTGTCTTGAGGGGCTAAATTTTGGAGTGGAGTTCTGACGGTTGAGTGTTTTCTGGTCAGCCATCAAAATGGGTCACCTTTCGCCACCCGTGCACCCGCCAAAGCTCAAACGCTTTGCAATTGAGTGTCACCATCTGTCTCGTGTGATTCCGGAAATTTTGGCAGTGGTTTGACAAATCTCGAGGATCAGTGTCTTTGAAGGATGACGCGATAGGACCAAAAGCAGCCTAACGTGGTCACCTCAAACCAAAATGGCAGACTGCCCGTGTGATTTGGGGGCATGTTTGCTTCTTGAGACTTTTTTTGTGAGAGACGTGCCCTCCCAAATTTATGTTGCTACGTGAAAACTGGCTCTGTGGGCTGACTTTTCTGAAAATTCCACTGATGACGATGACTCCAATTTTGGCCAATTTAGCGCTGTCCTTCCATTTAGTAGTAGAAAGTCGGAAAAACCTGGACAAATTCTCCAGGTCCAGGTGTCTTTGAAAGACCGCCAGACTTAAAAATAGCAAATAGGAATAAAATGGCAGGAATTTTTAATTTAATTTATTGAACATTAATGGTGCCTCATATCTCCAGGCATCCTTGTAATGTGTGTGAGCGCACGCGCGTACCTCCAGAGTAGGAATACCAGGCCTCCTCCTAGGACCTGCAGCACCACCAGACAAACGATAGCCACTGTCGAGCCGCTGATGCCGCTTGGCTCACACGGTGCTATGCGGCGGTGGGGGGGAGGAAAAAAAAATCTGACATGGCTACCCAGAAGGAAGGGAGAGACAAAACAAGGATGGTATGTAAGGAAGGAAGGAAGGACGTAAGCGAGGAAGCAGGCAGGGGCGGGGCGGGAACCGGCTGTGTAGGTGGCGGAGCTGTAGCCCAGCTTGTTGCTGACCACGCAGGTGAAATGGCCGCAAATGGGCACTTTGGTGACCACCAGGGTGGCGCCGTCGGGGGACACGCGGCCCACGCTGCTGGTGACGGCGTCGCGTTCGTGCAGCCAGCTGAACTGAGGCTCGGTACCCCACGCCTCGCCGCACACCAGCGACGAATGCGACACGTTGATGCTCACCGTCACGTGGTGCACCGCCTCTGTGGCAAAAGTCAAAAGGTCGAGCGACATTTGGGCTGGTCACGTTTCGTCATGTCGGCGCTATTAAAAGTGCAACTGAAAAATACACCAATTTACAAACGTTGGACCAAAATGTACTTTAGAAATGCTTTGTTCAAAGCAACCGGGAATTTTTAAAATGTCGAAATTCTATGAAAAAACGGAGCATACTGGTATCTGTTTTTGGAATGCGGGAGGAAAGCGGAGTACCCGGAAAAAAGCCACGCAGGCGCGGGGAGAACATGCAAACTCCACACAGGGAGGCCGGACCCGGAATCGAACCCCGCACCTCTGCACCGTGAGGCGAACGTGCTAACCAGTCGATGCCACCATAATACATTATATAAAAGTACAAATCTAATCAATAATATTACAAATATACAGCCATCAAAATGTTTTTTTTTTTATTTTAGAATTATTCATTTTGTGCTTTGATAACATGATTACTTTACTGGTAAGAAAAGACGCATTTTTCCTTTTACACCCCCTCAAAAAGTACGTTCCGGAAGGTGTTTCTATTCTTTTGACCCTTTCTTGTCACTATGAAGTCGCAAGAGTTGTCGTCTCTCTGCTACGCGGCGTCACGAGCGGCGTAAAGGCTCTCCTTTGGCACTTGGAAACCGTCATTCACGCCTTTGATGACTGTCACGCGCTTGACTTTGGAGTCAGTTAATCCTCCATGAAGTGTCTCCAGTCGGTCCAGAACGCCGCCGCTCGCCTCTTGACTGCTACTCGGAAGAGGGGGCACATATTTTGGCATCCCTTCACTGGCTCATTTTCGAATTGTTTTGAAGAGGACCCTCTTGTTAGTTTTCCAATCTTGCAGTGGCCCGGCCCCACCTGCCCGCTGCCTCAGGTCTGCGGACCAGACACGACAGGAGGTACCTAGTCTTTAAAGGGCTTTGGACTCGGCATGAGACTTGATTTTGAGTTGGACTGTTTTTGTGCTTTCTACTGTCCTCGTGATGAATTCGTTTTTGTGTTTGTTGTCATACGGATTCTTTTCGCTCCGTGTCCAGCGCTTTGTAGACAGCGGTGGTTGTTTTGAAGTGTTCTGGAAATACGCTCGAGTTGAGTGTTCGGACAGCATCCAAGCTCACCGTATTCTCTCACGATGACGCGCGCCGTGCGGGATTCTCCCGCCTTGCCCGTGACGCTGACGGCGTAGACGCCCGCGTCGGCTTTAGCGTAGTGGCCGACGTGCAGGATGCTGGTCTGCTGTTCCACGCTGGCGCGCACGTTGGGATGAGTGGAGGCGCACTGGACGGGCTGCGGGGCGCCACCCCCAGGGCAGGTGGCCAGCGCGGCCCGCCCGCCGGGGGCCCCGCTTTCGGGCTCCCGCTCCCAGGTGACGCCCATCAGCTCGTCCGGAGACCCGTATTGGATGTGGGCGCGGAGGACCAGGGCGGCGCCCGGGATGACGTACATGGGCCCCTCGTTGGGCATGTGCACCGACACGCACGCCACGCCGTTGGGAACTACAGACAAGAAAGCGCGCGCGCACACACACACACACACACACACACACACACACACACACACACACACACACACACACACAAACCCCATCGATGTATCTATCACACGCACAAAATAATAGCGAAAGCTATTTTTCAAATCTCATCTTGTCAGAACAAGTTCATTTTCCTGTTCTATGGTTAGCATCACAATGACGCGAAAGAGTTGATCATGATCCGTGAGGTAAACGTTCCGAATCATGTGGCGGGCTGCACAATGCGGTGGGAGGGGACCACGGAGCGCGGCAAATTAAGTGTGCTTCTGACCGGGTGTCCAGAACACGGGACAATAGCCAACATGAGCAAAACAAGTCATACATCACGTACACGGCAGCAGCAGCAGAAGCAGCGTGGCAGCTCTCCAGCACAGGAAGTCCAGTGGAGCCATGGCGCCAGCCTACGTTGGACGCACAACACGAGCAGATATCAACGTACGCCATCACTGCGTTCGTTCTCATCGGAAATACCACCCGTCCCATTGATCCGTCCTCCATAGCGGCGGTGCCGGAACCTATCGCGGTTGATTTTGAATGAAACGCTGACTATGCCATCTCTCTTCTCGGCCATGTTGTGAGCAGAAGCAGTACGAGCATCAAGTCAACATCGGGCCTTTTTGTGAAATGGAGTCACTCGAGAAGCTCATAGGAAGAGTTTCAAAGTCGCATTGACTTGCGATTTCTCGCACGCGTTTCCCTTCGGACAAGAGTTTTCGTCGGCGCGCTTTTGCGATCAAGCCTGCTCACGCGCGACAGCGAAGCCGCGAAACCCAAATGGACTTTGGGCGCCTGCGCGAGGTTCCAACAACCCTCACAAATTGGGAGGCCATCAGTCTCCTTCGCTTGAGCCGTCGCACGACGAGCGACGGCGCTTGGCTCGCGCCGCCAGAGTTCAGATGGAGCTTTGGAGCTCCGGAGCGCGATGCCCCCTAAATGGACCCACCTTCCCAAAACGTTGCCTCCCGCCGCCCCGCGAAGATGACCGCGGTCCGAGATCTCAGCGCATAGCCAGAAACGTCGCACGGAGCCGAGCTGGTGAAAAAAGTGACGGGGGTCACACGGGCCCGGCCGGGCGTCGCCTTGTTCCCCGGCCGTTTCCTCTCGTTGCGGACTCCGCCTCTCTTTCCTGTTCCAGCGCGAGCTTCCTGGGGCCTCCGCCGAGACATCCCCATTGTTAAGGCCAAACGTC